ATGATGACCGAACTAACATGCTCACATCATAGACTTTTACCGGTTGACCCTGTGTCATCCTGATGTATCATTTTGCACCAGTTCAGTGCTGTAAATCAATTTAAGATCTCCAGCAGGTTGAAAAGGCTGGTAATGATGCTTTCTCTGCAGTCTCTGGGGACTCCACATTATACACAACTTACATTATTTATAAAGCTGAGATGATGCCTCCATTAGGCCTGTAAGACTACTCAAATGAACTTTTATTTTACACACACAACTTGGGCTTCATGGAACACTGGCTATATGTAATGTCCAGTGCATTCATGCTTCAATTTTAAAAAAAAAATAAATTAAAAATCATAACCTCTTCATTTTTTAAAATCTTTATAGCAAGTAAAGAAACTCTTAGTTTCATCTGATTAATTTCCCAGTACTCAGAAACACAAGTAGCACTTTAATTAACCTTTGTATTGCTTTTCTTCACATCCAGCTCTTTACTCTGTGTTCAAACTACAGAGGAAAAGCAAACAATAAACACAATCAGCTTTCAAATATTTGATTGATAGTTAATATTTATACCAAAAAAAGAAAAATCTCCATCTGTTTATTCAGTCACTTTTCTCAAATGTATTAGATCATCACATCTTCAAGGGTACACGAAAAAGCAAGTTGAACAGGACAGAGAAGGAAAAAATGTATTTGATTACATACCCAATGGTAATGGGGTCAAAACAGACGCAAGGACAAATCCCTGCACTTAGGGTAACCTGATCATGCCTTGAACTGATCCCTTCTGGTAGCTGTAGAAGGCTTCTGGATCACCCAAATCAAGGGAAATTTCCCTCTAGCACCTAGTTACAGTCTGAAATAAATTGCAAGATTTCATCCCTAAGACCACAGCAAGTACTTCAAAGCGGGCCAGATATCTTTCATTTTCACACCGATGCTTTTCCAGTCACAGTAATGTAACAAGTACTCCAAAACTACACTAAAATCCAATGAGAACCTCTAAAAAGCTTCATAGCGCTGCTCTCTGGTTCAGTGGGAAAATTAAATGAGTATTAATCAGTTACAGCTAACAAACTCATGTCCCATAATTCAGCAGAGTAATTACTGACAAGTAAAAGAAAAAATGAAGTCAATCTTAGGTTCTCTCACATGATTTGCGCCCATTGTTTGACAGGACAAGGTGCACACAGTCAGCCACATGAAGACTGACAGAATTACAGACACATGCCTGCAAAGAAAAGTGTTCCCTATGGTCCGGGTTGGCTTCAGTTTTTAGCCTTATTCTTGAGTGCTGCTAAAAACACATGTAACTACTGGAGGAGAAAAAATAAAAAAGTTTTCTTTGATTTCTCCTCTGTGTGCAAAAGAGATTCAAACTATCAGCTATGACAGCTGTTTCCTAAGCATATTAGTTTCAAGACACTGTATCTTTAAGCACTGACATCCATTAAACACTGACATATTTCAGCCAATGATCTTTTCCATTTGCTTGTATCTGAAATACACATCTACTTTTAGTCCTCCCCATCTGGATCAAACAATACTGCTTTTATTAACCTCTGTTTATAATACTTTCCCAAATAAAACTGTTACCCTTTTCAACATGCAGTGAGCATCATTTTATCCTAAAATACACCAAAATAATAATTAATTTTCAGAATAAGCTCGAATTATTCAGATACTGTAAAATCAAACTGTAAGGTCAGACCGCATATCTTCTTCAGATTATTTTACTAACAAAAGAGCAACTACAGCAACCCTGCTTCTTTCAGAACTCCCTCTGACTTCGGTTTATATATTAAAAAAAAAAAAATAGTATCTAGCCCAGATCCTTTCGAACGCATGATTAAATATTTCCACACCAGTAAATCTTAATAAGCTCTAAAGATCTATATTCAGGATTAAATTATTTGGCTGTACGAGTATATGAAGAAACTACACTGAGGAGGGGGAAATCTCCAGCATCCAAACCCTTTAACAGTGAGAAGAAAAAAAAAATTTAAGTGAACTTTCCTTGACCTCTAAGCACAGATTTGTCATTAAAGAAAAAAGAA